GAGTTCAAATCTGACCTCAGACACTTACTAGCTGTGTGACCCTGAGCAAGTCACTTAACCTGATTTGCTTCAGCTTCCTCATCTGTAAAATGAGCTGGAGAGGGAAATGGCAAATCACTCTAGTATCTCTGCCAAGAAAACCCCAAATGGGGTCATGAAGACTCAGACACAAAATGACTAATCAACAACAACATAATGTGTGTATATACATATAAAGTTTAACAAGGTAGTAACAAAAGTATCCCTTTGTGGCCCCCTTCTAGGCTTTTATTTCTTTTGTGCATTTAAAACACTATTTTAATGATGTTCCATTTTATTGACGCTCTTTTTTATTGCTACTCCCTAATCCATCTCTTGATTAGCCCCCCCAATAATAAATGTAAAATAATAAACGTAATAAACATGTGCAGTATAAAAAAAAAAGTAAATCAAGACATGGACTATGTATGAGAAAGAATGTCTGAGTCTCTACCTATAGTCTGTCACATAACCCAAGAGATAGGGGATATGCTTTGTCAATTTTCTATAGTCATGACTGATTACTGCTTCAGAGTTCGGAGGTCTTTAAAAATCATTTCCCTACAAACCATTATTGTGGTCATTGAGAAAATTTTTCTCCTCTTTTTGCTCACTGTAATCTGAATCCATTAACTAAAGGGTTTTTTTTTTCTTCCTATTTCTCCAAATCTGTCATAGCCATCATTTCTTAAATGGTCGAATAAAATTCTATTACATTCATCTGCCACAGCTTGTTTGGCCATTTTCCAACTGATAGGCACCCATTCTGTTTTCAGTTCTTTGTTACAAAAAAAAAAAGTACTGCATTTTTTTTTCTATACATGAATCTTTGCCCTCTGTACTTGACCTCTTTGGGGTCCAAGATTAATAGAGGTCAAAGTATATGCACAGGTTAGGGACTTTATCAGGAATAACAGCATTTTTTTTCCCCCCAGAATGGGTTCGATCAATTTATAGCTCCATAGCAGTGTATCTGTGTGCTTATCCTTCTTCCAAAAATTCTAATTTTTCTCTTTTGTCATTTTTGTCAGTAAGTATAAAATGAACATAATAGTTATTTTAATTTGTATTTCTCTTATTTTAGTGACTTTGGAAATCCTGTACTTATTTTGAATAGGATTTATTTTTCTAGAGCTTCCTGCTGACTTTTATCAGCAATGTACAGAAAGGCTGATGGTTTCTGTGAGATTATTTTGCATCCTGATAATTTACTGAAACTATTGTTTCAAATAATTTGAGTTGAATCTTTAGGATTATCTAAGTAAATTATCATGTCATCTATAAAAATTCATGACTGTTTCCTCTTTGCTTATGCATGTTATCTAATTTATTTTTTTTACTTATGCCGTAGTTAGCATTTCCAAAACTATAATAAGTAATAATCATGGCAATTGACATTCTTGCTTCACTCTTGATCTTGTTGGAAAGACTTCTATGGTTTCACTAATACATTTAATGATAATTTTTACTTTTTAAGAGATACTATTTAGTATTTTAGGGGGAGGTCTTCTGGTTGTATGTTTTGATCTTCTTTGTCAACAACGA